GAGCGCTTCCCCGCGCCCGTGGGCACCGCGACGCTCCTCAAGACGCACTACCCGGCCATCGTCGACGACGAGCAGGCGGGCGCGGACGTCTTCCCCGCGCACCGCCTCGACGCCTACTTCCACGGCGTCGTCCTGCTCACGCGGAACCCCATCGACGCCGTCGTCGGCCAGAAGGTCCGCTGGGCCTGCCACGCGCAGGTCCACCAGGCGTCGGCCTGGATGGCGGACCGCGCCCTGACGCCCAACGAGACGGCCTACTGGGAGGGCGCCTACCGCCGCCAGTACGAGGCCTGCCGCGACGCCGCGGTGTCCGGCCTCTGCGAATCGCCCGAGGCCTTCGACGACGAGGTGCGGACCTGGAACGCCTTCCACGAGTACTGGCTCGACGCCGCGGCGGCGGCGACGGGGCCGTTCCTGCTCCTGCGCTACGAGGACATGCTCGCGGCTCCCGCGGCGACGTTCCTTCGGCTCGCGCGATTCGCGAACGCGTCCTTCGACGACCGGCGGCTCCGCGCGGCCGTCGCCGCGCAGCTCCGGCGCCGCCCGGCGGCGGCGGCCCACGGCACGCGCCTCCGCGACGTCTGCGCGACCGCGGAGACCCAGGACGTGCTCCTCGAGGCCACGCGCGGCGTCGCGGACCGCCTCGGCTACGCGCACGACGGCGCGCGCGCGGTCGTCGCGGCGACCGGCGCCGCGACGCCGCCGCGCCTCGAGAGCGACTTCCGCCGCCTCGACGCCCGCGTTCGAGCGGCGCGGGCGATCCGCGACGCCGCGGACGCGGTCAAGGCCGCGGACGCGCGCCGCGACGCCGACGAGCGCCGGGCGAAGAAGCGCGACAAGCGACGGCGGCACCACTCCTTCTTCCACCAGCTCGGGTTCTAAGGGGTACGCGCGAGCCAGGACCGGAAGCTCGCGACGTCCATGGCCGCGCCGCGGTGGCGCCGCGGCGTCGTCGTGTCCGCGAACGAGTCGAGGTTCCAGGCGGCGGCGGCCGCCGGGCCACGCACGGGCGCCCAGGCGGGCGGCGGCGCCTGGTACGTCCCGTCGTCATCGCGCATGTGGCGGCGGTCGCTCGCGAAGTGGTCGACGAGCGTCGCCGCGGCGACGACGCGGACGCGCGGCCGGTACTCGAAGGGCGCCCGCGCCGCGGGCCCGAGGGCCGCGTCGACGTAGGCCAGCGCGTCCGTGACGGCGTCGAGGCGCGTGTCGAAGTCGCAGACGTACGCGCCGCTCGGCAGGAAGACGGCGGCGACGACGTGGTAGTCCCACAGCACGGGCTCGTCGGCGGCGCGCGCGGACCGCTGGCACCAGACGGGGCAAAACTTCGACCGGCTGCTGATGAAGACGGCATACGCGGGGTGCGGCCCGTGGCGCAGCGCGTCGACGAGGCGGTAGACGTTCTCCTCGCAGTAGCACGACGCGTAGGGAGAGGTTCGCACGCGCTGGCGCAGCGCGTCGACGCTGGCATCGTCCAGGGCCGCCATTATGTTGCTAGAGTTCAGCAGTGATAGAGATGGCAGCAAGCATTTTTAAGGAGCTCTCGTCCATGCTTTAGACTCGGGCAACACGTTATGGCTAGTTAGCAATAACGCGATAACACCCTAGCTAGCCAATCAAATAACACTAATAACACCCTGCCGATGGCAGCCACTCGATTTTTCAAAATCAATAACACCCTGGCGAAAATTCTCGATAACACCCATAACACCCAGCCACCTGATCCTTAAAAAGCCAATAACGACCTAACACCCGAGCGTCCGAGGCCAATAACGCCCTAACGGTCTAACGGGTTGCACGAGTCGAATGCTTTTGCCACTGGGGTCACTTTGTCGACATTGATGAGCTACAAAAGTTCACCTTGCAGCGTGGCATTCCCGGCACTGCAGATGATGGTCTAGCGGACTGCGATGACGAAGGTCGCCCCGGAGCCCGCCGAGGCGCCGGTGGCGTCGGCGCGCGGCGGCTATCAGATCCCCGCGGAGGCCACGGCGAAGCTCAAGGAAGCGAAGAAGGCCGGCCACACGGCTCGGCTGCGCATCTCGCTCGTCGCGGGCGGCCTCGGCTCCGTGCTCTTCTTATATTTCATCGCGTCCATCATCTTCTTCCCGGTGTCGTCGGACGCGCAGTGGGTCGGCGTCTGCTGCTGGCCGCCGGGCACGCTCGGCCTCATGCTCGCGGTGCTCCCCACGGATCGCCGCGCGATCTACAACACGGCGCGCTTCATCCTGTTCTTGATGCCCTTCTGCGCCTACGCGGCGACGAGCCTCGCCTGGTACTACACGCCTGGCCAGCGCGGCGGCCGCGATTGCGTCGACAAGGCGCCGCGCTGGATCTGCGCGACGGACGCGTTCCAGGGCTGGGGCATGTGCGCCGTCGTCTACGCGATCACGTGCGGCCTCGTGTCGACGCTCCGGCTCCACCCGCGCGCGGCGCTCGACCGGCTCTGGCTCATCTTCACGCGGAGCCTCTTCGCCATGGTCTGCGTGCGGGTCGTCGGCCGCGTCGCGTGGCAGGCGAAGCCGTCCTCGCTGCGGCTCGGCGCGCACGTCTGGGGCTGGATCTACCTCCTGGACCTGCTCGCCTTCGGCGCGCTCGCGTCGAGGCCGAGCTTCCGCCAGAAGGCGCACGCCATGCTCATGGCGCGCGGCGGGCAGATCGCGTCGGCCGCGGGCGTCGCGGCGTTGCTGGGGGGCAACGACGTCGAGACCGTCAAGGCGACGGCGCAGAAGAAGTTCTTCGGCGTCGACATGTCGCGGGTGGAGTTGGCGCACATCGCTTCGCCCCATCCGGACCCGGAGCTCTTCAAGCTCGCGCAGAAGGCGTCCTTCGACCAGGTCGACTGGTTCGTGAGCCACAGCTGGCGCGACGACGCCGACGCGAAATTCTCGGCGCTGCAGAACGCGCGGACCAGCTTCCGCGACGCCCACAAGCGCGAGCCCATCATCTGGGTCGACAAGCGCCGCGCCGCGTCCCGCGGCTGAGCCGTCGCGCGGGACACCGACGAACCGTAGGTTCTGCATCGATCAAATGAACATCGACGAAAATCTCATGTGCTTGCCTGTTTTCCTCGCGGGATGCAAGAAGCTGTACATCGTCTGCGGACCGACGTTCCTGGAGCGATTGTGGTGCATGCTCGAGATCTTCGTCTTCATCGAGATGGGCGGCAAGACGGACGACGTCCAGCTGTTCTTCATCCCGCCGGAGGGCGTCGTCGAGCCGGGGGAACTGCAGACCTACTTCGAGGACAAGTTCGCGACCTTCGACGTCGCCGAGGCGTCGTGTTACGACCCGGTGCAGAAGGACCGGCTCTTGGCCATCGTGGAAGCCGGCTTCGGCGGCCTGGACCGCTTCAACGCGGCGCTGACGACGACGATGACCGCGCTCAAGCACAAGGCGCTGCACTCGCTCGCCGGCGGCGGCGCCGTCTTCGAGGCGACGCCCAAGGACACGAACTCGCGACGGCTCGCGCAGCGGCTCCCCATTTAACTAATTGTATGTGAAAGACGCTCGGCCGATCGCGGACGGCGCGGCCGACGTCCTCGTAGTCACGTGGTTAACTAGAAGCCCGGGACGCAGCCCGCGAAGAGGGTATCGGAGCCCCGCGGCGCGAGTTCGATGCCGTCGCCGTGCTCCTCGAAGCCCGACGGGCCGCCGGCGAGCTCCTTGAGGAGGAGCGTCGGGTCGTAGGCCATGCTGTTCTTCCGCGGCAGGCCCGGTCGCTGCGACGACGCGGCCGCGTCGTCGTAGAGCTGGTCGTCGTCGCCGACGATCTCGTCCTGGATGAGCTCCTCGAGGATGTCCTCCGTCGTGACGACGCCGAGGCAGGGCCAGTTCTTGACGGCCTTGTCCACGACGACGAGCCTACGAGGGGTTGCTCGCGCGGCGCGCCGGGCTTCGGGGGACGCGGGGGAACTCGCATGTGGCAGCGCTTCGACTTGCAGAGGTCGAAGGCCGCGCCGAGCGTCGTCGTCGCCGCGACGGAGTGGACGCGCTCCGTCGCCCGGAAGCTGTCGAGCACCTGCTGGAGCGGGATCTTCCGCTCGTAGCCGATGCCCACGAGGTCCTTCGCGTAGAGCAGCGCGACGACCTCGGCCGCGTCGTCGGGGAGCACGACGGGGATGCGCGTGTGGCCGCTCCGTAAAATCTCGGCCACCGTGGCGGCGCTCAGCACGGCGTTCCGCGGCAGCGCGAACGTCGAGTCGAGCGGCGTCATGACGTCGGCGACCTTGCGGTCCTTGAACGTGAGCGCGCCCGCCTGGGCAGGACAAGAGAGATTCAACGTCGCTTCAACGTGAGTGTTCCGCGCGCGCGCGTTTCGGAAACAGCATCCACGCTTCGAGACCGTTCCGAGAGATGATCGCCCGTCCAAAAGTCAGCCAAAACGAGTAGAAAACGGCCGAGATATGAGCCTTTGAAGTTGGGAATTTCGCTCTCTTGTCCTGCCCTGGCGCCCGCGAGGATGCGCCCGTCCTCGGACGTGAGCCCGCTCTGGGCCTGGCGCTTCGGGTCCTCGACGTTGAGCAGGATCAGCGACTTGAGCTCGTTCTTCGTGAAGACCGCGGACATCTCGCCGCCGAGCACGTAGTCGAGGAGCTTCGCGATGGGGTAGGCCGCGGCGAAGCAGACGCCCACGAAGAGCCAGACGAGGGGCACGGACCTGGCGCCGATGCGCAGCGCGTAGCGGCTGCACACGGACTGGGGGATGATCTCGCCGAAGACGACGATGAGCGCCGTCGTCACGAGGCCGCCGACGACGCCGCTCGTCATGTCGCTCAGCAGGATCGCGATCATCGCGTTGACCAGCGTGTTGCCCAGGAGCAGCGTGCAGAGGAGCAGGTTCCCCGTCTTCCGCAGGGGCTGGATCGTCGCCGCGTCGCGCCGCTCCTGCTCGTCGGGGCTGCCCTCGACGATGATGCGCAGGTCCTCGTCGCTGAAGGACATGAGGCCCAGGTTCAGGCCGCTGAAGAGGCCCGAGAGCATGACCAAAATGGCCGCGATGATGAGGAACACGACGTTCATCCTCGCGTCGCGTTCGGGACCTGTTTTAAGCTGGCGCACCTCAGGAAGCACGGCGGCGCGACGTCGACGAGTGCCAGTTTTAGCCGCGGAGGACGAGGATGGCTTTTTTTGCCACAGTGTGTGCAACTCGGGTTCAATGAGGTTCAATGTGCAGTTATTGAAGTGGATTTTACAGCGGGAAGAAGGTCCGACTGCCGCGGCGCTTCGCCTTCTTGCGCTCGCGGCGCGCGTCGCGGTCCCGCTCGCGCGCGCGCCCGGCGCCCGGGCCGGCCGGGCGCGCGGCGGCCGCGGGCCGCGCGGCCGGCGTCGCGTTCCAGCCCTGCCACGCGGGCCAGGTCCAGTTGGCGTGGTCGTAGCCCGACCACCAGAAGGTCGGCTCCGGCGGCGGCGCCCGGTCGCGGTCGCGCGTCATGGACCGGTTGGCCGTCGCGCGGTAGGACCGGTTGAAGGCGCGCGCGTCGACGCCGTACTCGTCGAGGAGCCAGCCGAGCTTCGCGCGGCAGTAGGCCTCGTCGCGCGCGGACCGCGGGAAGGCCAGCGTCGTCGTGGCCTTGTCCGCCATCTCGAGGTCGTAGAAGAGGCCCGCGAGGAGCTCCGCGTCCTTGCGCTGCTGCGCGTCCGCGTTCTCCGCGCCGCGCCAGAAGCCGCCGTTGCCGTGGGCGTGGCGCTCGCGGCTCCGCGCGACCTGCTTGAGCTCGCGCAGGGGCACGACGACGCGCCGGATGTTCGTCGCGGTGAGCCAGTGCGGCCGGAGCTCGGGGGCCGCGTACCACGGGCTCTTGACGACCCGCACGGAGCCGTTCGCGGCGTCGACGGCGACGGACCGGTTGCGCTCGTCGCGGCACATGCGGATGCTCCGCTCGAGGCCCGCGTGGCTCCGCCGCGCGGCCGCGGTGCGCACGTCCGTCTCGCCGTAGCCCGTCGGCAGCCCGAGCCGCGTGAGCAGCGCGATGAGGAACGACGTGCCCGCGCGGCCCGTGCCCGTGATGAGCGTCATGTCCGGCGCCGGCTCGCCGCAGGGCTGCGTCGCGTTCCACATGTTGACGAAGAAGACGAACTTTTCTCGCGTGGCGTTGGCGGCCGACGCGTTCCGCCGCTTCGACGTGCGGTTGTGCTCGACCGCGTCGAGCGGCCGGCGCCCGCGCCGCCCCGGCGCGTGGCCCGGCCGCGACGCCGTCCGCAGAAAGGTGGCGAGGAGGACGACGAGGCTGCCGACACTGCCCATCGAGCGCACCATAATCGTTGCGAGCGCTGCGACGTGTGGTTTGTAATTGACGACACTATTATCGGCGAGAATACATCTGAGCCTGCGGGGCAGCTCACTCGCAAATCAGAGCCAGCGCCATGGGTGCGGGTGCCAGCAGCGACGCCGGCGAGGTGGACCTGACGGCGCCGCGGAGCTTCGTGCCCGTCGTCGTCGCCGTGCGGTCCGCCAAGGGCCTGCGCGCCGCGGACTGGTCCTTTGGCGGCGGCGGCAAGTCGGATCCCTACGTCGTCGCGCGCGTGGGCCCGGCGGGCACGAGCTGGACGCAAAAGGCCCACGGCGTCGAGTGGACGTCGGAGACCGTGGAGGACGCGACGGACGTCGACTTCGGGTTCGCGTTCAGCTTCAACGGCGCGGCGCCGTGGTCGTATTTCGCGGGCGCGAAGGAGCTGCACGTCCGCGTCTACGACGCGGACTTCCTCACGCGCGACGACTGCCTCGGCGAGGCCGTCGCGCCCCTGCCCGCGCCGGGCAACGCCGTCGAGACGGCGCTGCCGCTGGCGGGCGTCGCGGGCGCCGAGGGCGTCGTGAACGTCGCGGTCTGGGTCGGCCCGGGCGCGGCGCCGCCCTGGGCGTCCGCGCTGGAGACGGCGCCGGGCGTGCTGCGGGGCGCGCGCGCGGACGCCCTGGACTCGACCCGGGGCTGGGACGCCATCTCCGGCGCGCTCGCGGGCTGGTTCGGCCCCGAGGACCGCGGCGACGCGCCGTCGTCGTCGCCGCCGCTCCGCTACTTCACGGACATGATCCTGCTCAAGCTCAAGCCCTACAGCGACGTCTTCTACGCGCGGTCGGAGGACGGCGGCGTCACGGCGGCCTTCCCCGGCCCGGGCGCGACGAGCTACCTCACGCACAAGGACGTCGCCGAGAAACTCGCTGTTGTGCCCGCGCGGCAAAAGGCCGGCGAGATCTGGCGGTCGAACCCGGACTCGTACCTCGGCTTCCTGCGGCTCCCGGACAACTGGTGGACGGACGTCGAGCCCCGGGGCATCGCCCTCGGCTGCACGGTGAAGCAGCACACGTGGCTGCGGCCCGTCCTGGACGACATGGTCGGCGCGGACGCGGGCTGGACCGCCGCGTCGCTGCGCGAGGACGCCGCGGCCTTCATCGCCGAGCGGCGCGAAGCCACGGGCACCTTCCGGGTCCAGAACGACGTCAAGGTCTTCGGCCAGATCGCGATCCACAAGCAGATGTTCGGCAAGGCGCTGGGCGTCGACGACGCGCAGGAGATCACGGACCAGCAGACGAAGCTCACCTTAATGTCGACGCTGCCGAAGCAGGTCTTAGATGTGGAGTTCATCGCCAAGAAACTCGGCCTGCCCGGCGCGCTCAAATTCCGGAAGAAGTACCTCGCGAGGTACGGCGAATGGCGTCCAAGTACGCGGCGCCGCCCTGGTCCCTGGACGAGGCGCAGCTGAAGTACCTGGCGTCCGCGGCCCTCGACGCCGTGCTCTTCGCCGGGGGCCTGTCCGTGGCCTCGGTGGTCTCCTGCGCGCTCGCCGTCGCGTACGCCGCGGAAAGCCCGCTGCCGATGACGGCGGCGTCGCGGACGGCAGCCGTCGCGCCCCAGCTCGTCTGGGAGACGATCCGCTACTTCCCCGCCGTCGTGGGCTTCCCCTGGTTCGAGGACGACACGCTCAAGCAGCGCACGATCCTCGCGCTCGCGATGGCGCTCCGGGATCCGCGCGCGTGGGGCGAAGACGCGGAGACGTTCCGCCTGCGGCCCCTCGCGGACTACGCGCGCCTCTCCGTCGCCTTCGCGGACCAGGCCGTCGACGCGGAGGACGGCACGATGTCGCGCGTCTGCCCGGCGAAGGAGTTCGCGCTCGTCTTCTGCGTGGAGTTCGTGCGGGCGATGTTCGCGGCGGAGGCCGGCTGGGCCGTCGCCGAGCCCGAGAAGATCACCTTCGAGGGGTCGACGCCGTTCGTCTCCGAGTTCGTCTTCGAGCGCGCAAAGGAACCCTAAGCGTTACGCCGCGAGCCGCCGCAGCAGCGCGTCGAACGTGGGCCGGTCGCGCGGGTCCGCGGCCGTCATCGTCGCCGCGAGCGCCTTGAGCTTCTTCGCCGCGTCGCGGTCCGCGGCCATGCGGATGATGCGCGGCAAGAGCCAGCTCTTGGCGGCGACGTCGTAGACGTGGACGCGCCAGTCGAAGGCCGCGCACGTGCCGTTGCGGCACTCCGTGAGCTCCGGCGCGCTCAGGGGCCCGCCGTCGTCCTGGTCCTGGCAGTAGCCGCCGGACTTGCCCACGGGGCAGTGGTGGTACTTGTAGGTCCGCCGCCCGCACATGGCCGCCGTGTTGTCCTCGCAGGACCACGGCTTGCCCGGCTCGAGGTCCGGATTCTCTGGGCGGTAGTCGCCGCCGGGCACGTAGATGCCGTCGGGGTGGCCCGACGTGAAGTGGCGCCGCGCGAAGTCGGCGATGGCCCCGAGTTCGGCGCCGGCCCGTCGACGAGGTAGATGTGGCCGCGGTCGTCGAACGTGAACTGCTCGGGCTTGAAGTCCGTCAGGACGAAGCCGCCGCGTTCGCCGAAGGACCGGAAGCACTTGAACCAGGCCTTGGCGAGGGCGAGCGGCGCGTCGCGGGCGAGCTGGTTGTACTGGGCCGGGAACATGGCTGGCACGCGCCGCGTGCCGCGGCCCTGGGCCACGGGCCGCCCGCCGTTCGACGTCACCCAGACGACGTGGCTCGGCGTCGTCCAGCCGCCGTAGAGCACGGGGATGCCCGCCTCGCCGCGCAGGAACTCAAGGTAGAGCAGTTCGAAGTAGGCGATGTCGCTCTCGCGGTGGCCGAACGCGAACAGGCCGGCCTTGCGCAGCGCCTTGACGACGACGGGCACGAGCTTGGCGTTCGACCGTCGCGGGCGCGAGCCACGACGCGTTGACCTCCTTCTGCTTGCTCTCGACGAGGATTTCGTGGTCATCCGTGAGGTCCCGCGGCGAGCGCACGCGCCAGTGCGCCGGCGGTCCCGCGGAGCGGCCCGTCAACCAGGCGTCGATGAGCCGCAATCGCTCGAGCGCCGGCGCGGTCGTCGACCGGGCGCCGCCTCCGGGCGCGAGCAACGCGAGCGCGACGCTTGCCAGCAGCATCATCGAGCTAGCATGGGCTTCCTGAGATCATCGATCGATCATCGTCCGTATTTTTTCGGTGTTGTTGGCGTGTCGTTGCACCGCACATTTACCCCCATATCCAAGTGCGGATTTCAGTGCTCCCCGGGCTGCCACACCGTCGCCTCGCGGTCTGTCGGTGGTCGCGCGTGCCCGTTCGCATGTCGATGATGGACGCGGCCTACTTCGACGCCGCGCGGCGGCTGGGGGACGACATGTCCTCGGAGACGCTGGGGCTCGTGCTCCTCGGCATCCTCACCTTCCTCGTCGTCGCGACGATCTTCTTCGAGCGGACCCAGGAGTGGATGATCGAGGTGAGCGTGCCGACGATGAAGCCCGTCGTGCGCCAGACCTTCGCGGAGATCACGGTGCTGGGCTTTTTGTCCATCGTCACGCTCGTGCTCGAGAAGGTGGGCTTCCTCGACTTCCTAGCCATCGAGATCTTCGGCGACGACGACGAGTCCGAGGAGACGCTCGAGGATTTGGTGGAGGACGCGCACTACACGCTGTTCCTCGTCATGATCGTCTTCATCATCCTCGTCATGGCCATGGTCTTCATGGGCAACCACCTGTCGCGGCTCTGGACGTCGCTCGACCGCTACTGCGTGCAGCTCGCGGACAAGGGCTGCGCGACGCCCTGGGCGCCGGGGGCGCCGCCCGTGCCCGAGGGCGTGCGCCGGTCCATGACCATGACGGAGGTCGTCCAGTACTGGGGCATGCGCGTCGAGTTCCTCAAGGACCGCGCGATCCTCCCGCCGCACAAGGAGTCGGACGCGAACAAGCAGCTCGCCTACAACTTCCCCTACGGCCACTACCTCCTCGAGTCGCTGTCGGAGGATCTGGTGGAGATGGTCGACGTGACCTGGCAGACCTGGGTCGTGCTCGAGCTGCTGGCGGTCATCTTCTGCGTCATGGTCGTGCTCGACGACCAGCCCGCGTGGGTTACGCTCATCTGGGTCGTCTTCGAGTACCTGCTCTTTGCCGTGTCCATCGTCTTCCTGAGGCACGTGCGCTGGATCGCGTCCATGATCATGCACCCGGACGCCAAGGACTACGACGGGCTGGGCATGTGCGGCGCGGGCAAGGGCCGCGCGTACAGCGACGACGGCACGGGCCGCATCGTCTGCGCCAAGGACATCTCGTCCACGGGCACGGAGCACACGCCCATGCTCAGCGAGGAGCTCCCGGGCTGGGCCGCGGCGCCCCACCCGGGCTTCGAGAAGCGGTCGAAGCTCGCGGGCCACGTCTTCGGCCACGCGCCGAACAAGCAGCACAAGCTCTTCCTCTTCGAGGAGCGGGGCCACGAGTCCCACATCTTCGCCTGCCGCTTGCTATTGCTCCTCCAGGCCATCTACGTGTCGCTCCTCTGCATGGTCATCCTGCCGGACGCGTCGGACTACACGGACACGTGGGGCACGGCCGTCGTCGCGGTCGTCGGCTTCCTGCCGTTCTTCGGCATCGTCGCCGTCAACGAGAAGGCCATCCCGCTGGCGATCCACGTGGGCTCCGTGGGCACGTTCCGGAACCGGCGCCTCATCGCCAAGGTGTCGCGGGACCAGAAGGCGGAGCGCGCGGTGAAGTTGCTCGAGACGCTCTACTCGCTCAAGAACCAGTTCGCGGCCATCGAGGTGCCCGACGAGAAGGACGAGGCCAAGGAGGCGCCCGGTGGCGGCGCCGCGGCGCGCCCCTCGCTCCCGCGGGGCGAGACGCTCCACGACATCATGGACAACGACGAGATCGCGGCCATCGCGCGGACCTTCGACCTCTACGACACGGACGGCACGGGCCAGCTCGACCCCTCGGAGCTCCAGAAGCTCATGAAGTCGCTGGGCAAGGAGCTCACGGAGGCCCAGTCCAACGCCATGCTCAAGCGCCTCGACACGGACGGCGACGGCCTCGTGAGCCGCGACGAGTTCCTCGTCTGGTCCGCGAACAACCAGCCGACGGCCGCGACCGCGTCGTCCATCGAGGCCACGGCCAAGGCCATCTTCGCCATGTTCGACGAGGACGGCAGCGGCTCCATCACCTACCGCGAGTTCAAGGACGGCCTCACGCGCTTCGGCGTCGAGATCTCCGACGACGAGCTCACGATCCTCATCGAGGAGCTCGACAAGGACCAGTCCGGCGACATCGGCGAGGAGGAGTTCACCCACCTCCTCCAGCAGTTCACGCCCGAGGAGGAGTGAGCCGGGCGAGTGCCACCGAAAAAACACACACGCGCCCGTCCAAAGGCCAGCGTAATTCGCCCTGATCCCGAATCTCGCTGCGCGCAAGCCGTATGTGCTCGTTGAAGGGCAAGTAGAAGTGCAAGCAGCTTGGTTGACGCCTCTCCGCAGCTCACACTGTGCTGGCAAGCGCGGCGCCGTCGGCGCGCACCCACTGCTCGACCAGAGAACGCCGCGACGCACGCATGCGGGGACCCGCCGCCAAGTACGCGACGCTCGCCGGCGTGGTGTCTCTCGTGGGCGTCATGGGCCTGCTGCCGATGTGGCTGCGCAACAAGATGGGCGCGCGCCCGGCGTCCGCCGACGGTGGTTTCGCGCGATGCGCGCGCCTGGCAGCGCGACATCTATCGCCGACGGTGGTCTCGCGCGACGCGCGCGCCCGGCGACGTCCGTCTCCGCTAGGCTCGCCCATCTCCGCGTCGGAGAAATGCCTCACGGGGTCGCAGATCCAGCGCGGCCAGTTCATGAACTCGGGCTCGAAGGACGCCGGGCCGGACGCGCGCGCCGGCGTCCGAACATCTGTGATTCGACGATCATCGTCCGTCTCCGCAGCCCGACTGGGACATGAGGAAGGGCGTCTACAAGCCCCACGCGCGGCTCTACGACCCCGGCGCGTACCCCGAGGAGCCGCGGAAGGGGACCTAAGGGGATGTGTATGCGAGCGATCGGGCGATCCTAGTCGGCGCCGGGCGTCGAGGCGGGCGTGTCGGGCTCCGTGGCCGCGTCCGAGCCGACGGGGCTGCCGTAGGCGAACGCGCCCGCCTTCGTCGGCGTCGTCGGCGTCGCCGGGTCCGCGGGCGCGAAGGCGAGGTCCGCGTCGCCCTCGCCCGGCGGGAGGTCGTTGTCGCAGGCGAAGGAGTTGCAGAGGAGGAAGAGGCCGAGCTGCTGCTTCGTCGCGAAGGGGTCCGCGGCGTCGCCGGCGCCCGACGCGGCGAGGTTGCCGTTCTCGTCGATGGACGCCTCCGAGTCGGCGCTCGAGGACCGCACGCGCGACGCCCAGGCGCCCGAGGACCCCGGGTGGTCGCCCGACGGGTCCGCGACGTCCGCGTCGGGCGTCTTGCAGCAGTTGCCGCCGGCCATGGCGCCGCCCTTGTCGCGGCGCTCCTTCTCCTGCTTCTCGAAGGCGGCGTCGCGGTCGATGCCCTGGATGAAGGTCAGGGTCAGCGGCCGCTCGGCCTGGTAGATCGTCCGGCTCAGCGCGCCGAAGCGCTGCGGCTCGCAGATGACGTTGCCGTTGACGGCGATGAGCTCGTCCGTCGGCCGCAGCTGGCGGTGGAACTCGCAGGCCGGGTCCACGGCGGCGACGAGGATGAACTCGCGGCCCATGTTGCCGTAGCGCGCGAGGATGATGCTGAACCCGAGCTTCGCGGTGCGGAACGTCCTTTCGAAGACGAGGCCCTGGTCGTCCATGGCCGCGATGTGCGTGCTCAGCAGGCCGTGGAGCCGCGTCATGGACTGGCGCTTCTCCTCGGCGACCATCTTGTCCAGCCGGTCGTAGCCGAGCTTCTTCACCTCGTCGAGGCTGCTGCCCCTCCGCTTGGACCGGTAGAACTTGATCTCCATCTTCTTGAACTTGCGCAGCTGCTTCTTCTTCGCCTTGTCCGGCGACTCGGGCACGCGCGCGGCCACCTGCTCCGCCATGGCGTCGCGCGTCGGGGATGGGAGGGGCTGCCAGCCACCCCCTTTTTTGGGGCGTGTCTTCGGGGGATGTGCGCCCGTCCGATGATATGGTTGAAAGCGACGTGCGCTGCTTGCCGCAAGACCAGCCTCGGTCGCCAACGTCGACGTGCGCTGCGCCGCCGTCGCCTCGCGGCTGCCCCACCGCCGCTCCGAGCCAGCACGACGCGACAGGATTAGGCACGCGACGCTGAAGCACCGCACTCGGCACGCCGGCTTCCCGAAGGTCGACGACGAGGTCGAGACGCCGAAGCAGAAGCGCGGCATGAAGGACAAGCCCGACGACGCGTCGGCGAGCGGCTACATGAGCCCGACGAACATGGGCTTCATCTGCGCGGCGCTGTTCTTCAACACCATGTCGGCGCCCATGGTGAAGCTGACGCAGAACGCCGAGGGCGGGCGCGCCGCGCCGCGCCCGCGCGCGCGCGCCGACGCGCCGCCGACGCGCGCGCCGCAGGTACGACTACAACAAGTGGTGCGTCTACTTCTTCAGCGAGTTCATCAAGCTCGGCGCCGCCGTCGCCTGGTGCGTCCGGGGCTACGCGAACAACGACGCGCAGCTCATCCGGCACCTCGAGTTCGACTGGAAGGACTTTGGCCAGTACGCGGTGCCGGGCTTCGTCTTCTTCGCGCAGAACAACCTGGGCTTCCTCGCGCTCCAGCACATGAACTCGTCGGCGTTCCAGCTGCTCATGAACACGCGCATCGTGAGCGTCGCGGTCATGTCCGTCGTCGTCCTGAAGAAGCCCATGCACGCGCTCGAGTGGTGCTCGATCGTGCTCCTCATGGTCGGCGCCATGCAGTACCAGCTGAGCGGCTGCGACGACTCGGGCTACCGCATCGACGTCGAGGGGCTGTCCGTCATGGCCGTCATCGTCTTCTGCGCGGCCGCGGGCAACGTCTACACGCAGAGGGTCATGCAGCGGAAGATGGACCAGCCGCTCATGGTCCAGAACGCCATGCTCTACGTCTGGGGCGTGCTCTTCAACGGCGTCAACTGGTTCGCGTCCGTCGTGCCGCGCCCGGAGCACCACGGCCCGCCCGTGCCGCTCTTCGGCGCGATCGGCGCCGTGGAGGTGCTCTCCATGGTCTTCTACGCCGTCTACGGCCTGTCCATCTCCATCATCCTCAAGCGCTTCGGCGCCATCACGCGCACCTTCATCAACACCGTCGCCATCTGCTGCACGGCCATGATCGACGTCGCCTTCTTCGGCGCGACGGTCACGGTCATGGAGCTGACGACCTTCGCCATCATCTTCATCGCCGTCTTTTGCCACTCGGCGCTCTCGAAGAACTACGTCCCGCCCGGCCAGAAGGACGACCTGAACCCCTAGCCCGCCGCGCGTCCGCGTCTCGTTTTGTAACTTTTTTAAGCTTCCAATTGCAAAGTCTTCACCATGACATATCCCGCCGGCGGGATATGTCATTGAAGGACATATCCCGCAGGCGGGATATGTCAACCATCGACATTGATTTTTTATATCATGAGTCAGTTTCAGGTTCTTGACCTTCACCCGTGCCGCGCTTTCGCAAACTTCTACAGTTCTTGACGTCCTCGAACCCGACGCGCAAGAACGGCGCCGGCCATGGCGAGCGACTCGGAGTCCGAATGCGACTTGGGCGACGAGCCGAGCAACTTCCTGGACCTCATCTTCGGCCTGCCGCCGTCGCGGGACGAGTTCTACGACGTGGCGCCGTCCTGGTGCGGCGAGGCCCAGCTCTGCGCGACGCCGACGGACGCCTGGGCCGAGTTCCTTGGCGGCATGCCCTGGCACGGCTGGGTGCGGGGCCGCGCGACGCTCGAGGGCGGGCGGCTCCGCTGGTTCGAGAATGGGCGGCGGCAGCCCGTCTACGAGGTCGAGGTCGAGGTCGGCGCGAGCGCGAGCCTCGCGGGCGCGACGATCCCGCTCGTGAGCCGGGGCCACGTCGTCGTCTGCAGCGGCCTGCGGACGTCGTCGCGGCGCGTTTCCGGGGGCGGCCGCCGAAGGCGCCGGCGCTGGACCTGGCGCCTCGCGTTCGACGGCGCCGCGGCCGCGGAGGCGTGCCGCGAGGCCGTCGCGAACGCGCGGCGCCTCGCGGGCGTCGCGCGGGGCTACGAGTTCGGCAGCGCCGTGGGCCGCGGGTCCGGCGGCGTGGTCTACGTCGTGCGCGACCGCAGGGCCGGCCGCGTCCTCGCCGGGAAGATCATGAAGCACGGCTCGAGCGGCGAGCGGCGGCGCGCGGCGCGCGAGGCGCGCATCTGTGTGGAAATCAAATCTTCAACCCGACTTCAATGTGCGCGTAATCGAACGATTTGGACCAGACTCTTTCGCTGTGCTTCGAGAACTCGACGAGAGCAATCGATCCGTCCAAAAATCAGCCGAATCGACTTCGATTTGACCGAGCTAGAAAGTTCTGAAGCTTGGTCAGGACCACCCAAACCAGTGGTTGAATTCGGCACAGGCGCGCATCATGAAGGAGGCGAGCGACCGCTGCGTCTGCGCCAACGTCTGCCGCGTGGAGCGCGTCTTCGAGCTCGCGGGCCGCGGGGCGCGCGTCGTGCTCCTCATGGAGCTCTGCGAGGGCGGCGACCTCCTGAGCCGGCTCCAGGCGCGCGGCGGCCGCCTCGGCGCCGCCGAGGGCGCGCGCGCCATCTCCATGATCGCGCGGGGCCTGCGCGCGCTCCACGAGGGCGGCATCCTGCACCTCGACCTCAAGCCGGAGAACTGCCTCTACGAGACGGCCGCCGCGGACGCGACGCTCAAGATCACGGATTTCGGCCTCGCGAAGCACCGCGACGACGACCCGGCGGAGGAGCGGGCGCCGCCGCGCATCGTCGGCACGCTCGGCTACATGGCGCCGGAGATCGTGCTCCAGCGGCCGGCGACGCCCGCGGCGGATGTCTTCTCGCTCGGCACCGTCGCGTTTCTGCTCTTGAGCGGCACGCAGGCCATCGCGCTCCACGGGTTGAGCCAGCGCGAGAAGCTCGTGCGCACGCTCCAGTGCCTCGTCGACTTCCGGCCCGAGGCCTGGGCGGGCGTGTCGCCCGACGCCAAGGTGCTCTGCGAGATGTGCCGACCGGGGCGGGAAAAGGGTGCGCAACTTCAAAGGCTCCGAGCTCGGCCGTTTTCCGCTCGTTTCGGCTGATTTTTGGACGAGCGATCATCTCTCGGAACGGTCTCGAAGCGTGGATGCTTTTTTTGGAGCGCGCGCGTTGAAGCGACGTCGAATCACCCCGTTCCCGCCCAGGTGCCTCCAGCGCGACCCGGGCGCGCGGCTCTCGCTCCGCGACGTCGTCGAGAACTCGTGGCTCCGGCTCCAGGCGCGCGCGCCCGTCGGGAGCCTCGAGCGGAAGCGGCGCGCGTCCTGCCCGAGCGAGCTCTGCCTCCTCGACGCGCAGGCGGCGCCGCCGCCCGCGCCGGCGGCCGCGCCGTCGCTCGGCGCGCTCGAGCGGGGCCGGCGCCACCGCGCCGCGCCGCCGGAGGCGCTCGCGAAGCCGCCGGCGCCCGCGCCGCGGCGGGGGCCCTTCGGCAGCGGCGCGCTCTCCGGGTTCCTGCTGGGCCTGGGCCGGCGGTGGACGGGCGCGCCGTCGGAGTTCAGCTCCGACGGGGGTTCGACGTCCGCGTCCGGCGACGCGCACGGCGACATCGCCGAGGCGCTCCGGTGCTACGACGAGGCCCGCATCTTCACGAGCGACCAGCTCGGGCGGCTGCGCACGGTCTTCGAGGGGCTCTCGCGGACCGGCGACGGCCGGCTCGGTTTAGAAGAGTTCGCGCGGTTCGCGCGGCTCGCGCGCGCGCCCTTCGCGCCGGCGCTCATGTTCAGCTTCCTGGACCTGGACCTGGACGGCTTCTGCTCCGTCGACGACTACCACGACTGGGTCGGCCGCCACCGGCGGACCGCGCCGCTGTCGCTCGCCGCGCGCGGCGCGCGGACCGCGACGGACCTCTTCCTGCCCGTCGTCGACGGTCTGGCGACGCTCCGGGGCGACGACCTGGACGGCCCGCCGGAGCGCGCGGCGGTGGCGTCGTTCCGCGAGCTCGTCGCCATCTTCGACGCGTACCACGGCGCCTTCGACCGGAAAGCGGCGCCCGGCGACGACGTGCTGCGGCTCGAGCCCGAGGCGCGCGACGCGGCGCTCGACGGCCGGCGCATCTTCCCGGCGCACGTCGCCGCGACCTTCGCGAATTTGTTGGGCGTGCACCTCGACGGCCGGGTCGCCGCGGGCGCGCTCGCGCGCCTCGCGGGCGCGACGGAGCGAGCCGTCGCGGACCGCGGCGTCTCGCTGCGGGCCTGGCTCGACTGCGCCTTCGTCGACGGCACCGTCTCCCGCGACGTCCACGTCCTCGCGGGGCCCATCTTCGAGGAGCTGAAGACGCACACGGGCAAGCTCGTCGCGCCGCCGCCGCGGCCGCGCGCGGCGCCTCCCGCGCGCAAGCCCCGGTCCGCCATGTCGTCCCTCGGGTCCGCGGACTCGCTCTACGGGCCGCTGGAGTAAGGCGGCTCCTTTTTCAAAAGCGGCGCGGCCTCGGTCGCGACGAGCTTGCCGCCCTGAGGCGGGTCGCCAAAAGACGGCCTGCGGCAAATAAATTTTTGTCGAGGCCAGCTCCGGCTGAGCAAGGGCCTGAGGCCGAGCTCTCCCAAAACCCCCGCTCCCGCGGTTCCTCCCGGGCCTCCTACGTTTAGAGACGCATCAAGGCAAATTTATCGATGAGACTTTGAGATGCTTCTCCTCCTCCTCCGCGCGACGCTCGCTCGAGCCACGATAAATGTCGTCCAGATGGGAGACTCGCATAGCGTCAAAACGTACAGGAAACACGTCCAGACGGTCGCACATCTCTGCGAAATTATGCGCTACAACTACACGTTGGTACCTTGGAACAAGACGGGATGTCCCTTCACCGCGAAAGTCGCGACGCTCGACGACTCTCTCAATCGCGCCGCCGCGGGCGACTGGGTCGCGTGGGTCGACTTGGACGCCCAGTATCAGAACCCGCGCTGCGACGCGTGGTGGCGGTCGCTCCCGACCCACGCGCCGTCGGGCAAGCCCTGCCACTTCACGGTGTTGAAGACGAACCGCACGTTGAATACGGGCGTCGTCCACGTCCGCGCTACTCCGGACGCGCGAGCGCTCGTGCGGGCGTGGCGCGACGAGCAGGTCGCGCGGGGCTACTGCGGCGGGCCGGCCGACCAGATGTCGCTCCAGACCGTCATGATGCGGGCCGCGGACGCGACCTACGACGGCCGCTGCGAGAAAGCGATGGATCCGAGTGCACAGAATGAGTGCTTCCACGAGGCGTTCGCCGCGCCGCCGCGGAACGTGTGCCTGCTGTCGTGCACGAGCGGGCTCCAGGGCCACGACTGCGCCCACGAGCCCCACGCGCGCCGCCGCGAGAACCTCTTTCTCCACCTCTCGGACTTCGAGGCGCGGCGCAACAGCCTGCGTGGAAATCAACCTGGGACGTCCCGACCAAACTTTGAAATTCTCTATCTCGATCAAATCGAAGTCGATTCGGCTGATTTTTGAACGAAACGATTGCTCTCATCAAGTTCTCGAAGCACAGCCGAAGAGTCCGGCGCAATCCGTTCAATTACGCGCACATTGAAGTCGGATTGAAGATTTGATTTCCACACAACAACACAGGCCACAGCAAAAAGCACCGCTTCAACCACTCCGTCGGGCTCTGCGCGGCGCCGCCGGATGTTGGACGCCCGTAGCAGAAACGCCGCGTACTCGTAAAATTTTGGTTAGAGCGTCCCCGGCGCGGTGTCGAAGCCCGTGCGCTGGAGGAGCGTCGGGTTGTGGACGATGTGGTGGAGCACGTCGCCGGACTTGACGTGCTGGTCGCGGAGCGTCTTGAAGTCGAAGAGCACGCGGCCCGGCTTCCCGTTGACCTCCGCGAAGAGGGGCCCCATGTGGTTCTCGAAGCGGTAGCGGGGCCGCTCGGCGTCGCGCATGTCCTGCTTGACCTTGTGGACGACCGTGTCGTCGCTGTACTCGAACGCGTGGCGCCGCGTCGACAGCTTGTCGACGACCGTGAGCTTGATCGTGGGCCGCTTGTCCTCGCGGGCCGTGCACTCCATCTCGACGCCGGGCATGATGCACTTAATCTCCGTCTTCGCGAGCTTCGTGCGCGACTCCTCGAGGGCGTTGGCCTCGCAGTCGGGCTTGTGCTTCCGCCAGTCGGCCTGCTGGCACGCGCCCGAGCAATAGAAGACCTCGAGCTTGCAGCGGCCGCAGCGCCGGCTCGACGCGAGGCCGCAGAGGGCGCAGAAGTGTTGCTTCTTCGCCGCGGCGGCGTCGCTCTCGTGGCGCAGGGTCCCGCCCGTCGGGCCCGCGGTCCTCCCCTGCGCGACGCGCGCGGGCGCGGGCGCCGCCTCGGCCGCGGGCGCGGGCGCGGGCGGCTTCGCCGCGCCGGGCTTCGCCGCGGGCCGCGCGCCGCTGTCGACGTGCTTGCTCAGGCCCACGGCGATGGTCTCGCCGTCGGCGAGGCCCGCCATCGTCGCCTCCATCGGCAGCGGCTCGCCCGTGCCGCGCCGCATCGCGACGTCCGCGACGTCGAGGCGCCGGCCGGGCTGCTTGGCGTTGAGCTGCTTGACGACCGTCGCCGCGAGCTTCGACGCGGGCTTGTCGCTCCAGGACGGCGGCACCGTGATCTTCAGCCGCAGCTTGTCCTTGGACGACTCCCCTTTCCACACGAGCTCCACCGACTTCTTCGCCGCCGCCATGGGTGGTGTTTGTCGGCGCGGGCGTTCGGTGGTAGTTGTGGCGTATCTGTGAAGTTGGTTGGATGCCGTCACCGATTTGGGCGCTGTCTTATGCGGCGCGAGCGACGCTCTCCATCGGCTTGGGAGAGCGTTTTGCTTGTGGCAGAAGATGGAGCTGCCACTCGAAACACGATGACGACCGCTCCAAGCTAGCTGTTTCGCACCAATTCGTCGCACGATGAAGCGCTTGCTCGACCCAATCGCGCGCGTGCACTTGCGCGCGACGACGAGACAGCTCTCGTCGCGCGCGCTGGAAGCCCAGTGCCTCTGTGGCTCCGTGCAGCTGCGGCTCGACGCGGACGCCGAGCCATCGCACGCCGCCGCCTTCTGCCACTGCACGATCTGCCGCGCCTTCCACGGCGCGCCGTTCGCCATGGAGGCCGGCTTCCCCGTCGACGCGTGCGAGACCTCGGGCGCGACGGCGAGCTACCGCTCGTCGAGGCACTTCGAGCGGCGGCGCTGCGCCGCGTGCGGCACGCCCTGCGGCGCCGTGCACCACAAGCTCGGCGCGATCTTCTTGCCGACTGCGCTCTTCGCAAAACCGGGCGCGCCGTCGCCGCCGCCGGGCTTCGAGCCGACGATGCACATCTTCTACGAGCGGCGCGTCGTCGGCGACGCGTTCGAGCAGGACGGCCTCCCGAAATACCATCGCATGCCGCCGTAAGACTCTTATTGCGCGATCCAGGGCCGCAGCACGACGGACGTCGCGTTCGCGCCGCAGTCTTCGCCGCGGGGCCGGGTCCGCGGGACGAGGACCTCGAGCTCGAGGTAGGTCGGCGCGCTCGGCCGGTCCGGGTCGAAGCGGAACGATGCGGGCACCGTGGCTCGTCGCACGTTGCCCGCGCCCATGGATCTCACGAGCTCGTCGACGGCGTCGTTCGCCGAGTTGTCGCCGACCGCGAACGAGCCCGTGCCGGTCTCGAGGACGTCGCCGGAGTCGAAGCCGTTCCTGCGCACCGTGAACGCGATGGTGACGCGCTCGCCGTCGCGTCGCGGCGGCGCGCCGGCCGCGTCGAACCCGTCGTAGTAGAGGATGCCGCTCCGCGTGCCGACGAGCTTCGGCTTCGCGGCGACGGCGGGCCCCGCGACGGACCCCACCGCGCCGGCGACGAAGGCGCGGCGATCCATGGAGTCCGCCGCTTCGTCGCCGGCGCGGCGATCCACGGAGTCCGCCGAATCCGCGTCGTCCCGCGCGTCCCAGGACCCGGGGAGGTCGTCGAGCGCGGCCGCGAGGCCCGCGACGCCGCCGAAGGCGCCGTCGACGTCGGCGGCGTCGACGCGGAGCACGGCGGCCAGGCCCTCGGCGTCCGCGCGCGGCGCGACGAAGGAATTTCGGAAGCCGCGGACGACCTTGGCCGACTTCGGCGTCGGCGGAAGCGTCCGGTGGCCGACGCGGCCGAGGACGCGAGCGACGCAGAGGTCCTCGGGCGCGTCGAGCCAGACGGCGTAGGCGCCGCCGCCGCCGCCCGCGGCGAGGAGCCGCAGCCAGTGGCCCCGCTGGGCCGCGTCGTGGTTGCAGCGGTCGACGACGACGCGGCCGCCGGCCGCGAGCGCCGCGGCGGCCGCGCGCTCGCAGCGCTTCCGGTTCCCGAGCCGGTCCTGGTTCACGACGGTCCAGCCGCGGGCCGCGAGCGCCGCCGCGAGCGTCGACTTGCCGCTGCCGGGCAGGCCGCAGAGCACGAGCAGTTGGGGTGTCGTCTCTGGCGTGGCCGCGGAGCAGCGCGGCGGTGCGCGCGATGTGATGCTCTGGCGTGGCCGCGGCGCCCAGGCGTCGATTGCGACGACGACAGCCAGCAGCCAGAAGGCCGCTTTGGGCATGCCTCGTCGCCTCGACGAGGCGGCCTCCATGTTCGCCACAAGCAAGGCTTCAAATCTTCAATCAGATGTTCAACGAGGCGAACAGCGCACGCATCGCATAAGACCGTCTGCTCGCGCCAAAACGAGAAGAGGCACCTCCGCCCCGCGTCTTTAAATTCGTTTTTACACACACGTGCTCCGCTACTTCTTCTTCCCCAGACGCCCGTCGTTCGTCGCGAGGCGGTAGGCCATGAGCCCGTCGATGGTCATCAGCATGACGATGATCAGCACGAGCCAGAGCTTCTCCTTGATGATCTTGCAACCGATGTCGTGGAGCACGCCCTTGGCCTCGGCCACGGTTCGATTCGTGTCCTCGAGCGTCGCCGCGGTGCCCTGGAGCCTGCGGGGCCGGCGGTGCTCGTCGAACGAAACATGCGAGGACAGCTCCGAGCGACGCGCGTCGAACGGAGACGCGCGGGCGGACGCGGCGTGCGCGCTGTTCGCCCTGGCGCCGCAGCTGGTCCAAAGTCGCGTTGCCTATTTCCTCCGTCTGACCGTTCACTCGCAGGGCGTCCTCGAGGAGCTCGTCGCTCCGATCCGTGACGTTGGAGTTTCGCGCCGCGTGCACGGGGCTCGACGCCTTGCTCTCCGCGGCCCCGCCGCCGGGCATGCGGACGGCCATAGCCTGCTCCTGGGGCACAGAAGCAGCTTTTTAGCGCGGCACTTCAGCGTCAATGACAGCGATGCCGCGACACTTGAACCCATCGGCCGGCGCGTGTTTGGAGCGACGGCCAGCAGCTCACCGCTTTGCACCTCGACATTTGCCCCCCAAAAAGTCGCCGTCGACCGACTGCACCATGATGCTGCGAGCGCTCGCGTCGCGCCACGCCCTGCGCCGGGCGACCCCGTCCGTCCGCGCCTCCGTCGCCGCCTTCGCCGACAGCCCGGCGCCGCCGTCGTCGGCGCCGCAGCTCCGGCTCCTGGACCCGACCTTCGACGCGTCGACGCTGAGCGAGCCCGTGCGCCGCATCTTCGAGCTGCGCAACGCGCGCAACCGGGACGTCGTCAGAGCGCAAGCGTCGTCGGTCGCCGAGTCGTTCCGTAGCGCGGCCGGCGTCCCGCACAAAAAAAACACAGCCCCCCCCGTTTACCCCCCGCCTCGTCTAGGCCTGCACGACGCCGACTGCGGCTCGACGCGCGTCCAGATCGCGCGGCTCACGGTGGAGATCGACGCGCTCCGCCTGCACTGCGCGTCGCACCCGAAGGACGAGCACTCGAAGCGCGGCTTCCAGGCCAAGCTCTCCGCGCGGACGCGGCTCCTCAAATACCTCCGCCGCGAGAGCCCGCAGGACTACGCGACGACCCTCACGACGCTGGACCTCAAGCCCCTCAAGCGCCGGAAGTGATCGTTCCCCGGCGCTCTAACTGGCGGTATTCCCTGTGTTTGTGCGGATTTCTGGGGGCGCGGGCGTCGTCGGCGACGGCGTCGTCACGTCGTCGGCGCCACCGCCTTTCTGCCACTTCAAGCATGGTTATGGTTCACCAAGCTGAAGATGCCGCGACGACTTAAATGATGGGGGATTGATGGGGGCTGCCTAGACGAACGGAGCCTATCCGCTATGCGCCAATCGAAGCGGCGCGACGTCGTCACGGCCGACGAGTTCGAGGAGATGCTCAAGTCGCTGAGCACGCCGCACGCCATGGAGCGCCTCGACCTCTGGGACCGGCCCGTGGACGGCGGCGCCGCCGAGTCCGACGACGACGACTCGGAGGCCGGCGCGGCGGACGTCGCGGGCGAGGTGGCGCGGCTGCGCGCGTCCATGGTCGAGGCCTGCGCCGCCGCGCTCGAGGCCTGCGGCGCGCCGCCGTCGGACACGACCGACGACGACGACGTCTCCGCGCGCGCGAAGCGGTCGCGGCGGCGCAAGGTCGAGACCTTTGGAAAACAGGAGAAGGCCGTCGCCGACCTCGAGGCCGCCGTCGCCGCCGCCGGGTTCTACGTCGCCGACGGCGTCGCGGGCGTCGACGACGGCGCGCGCGCGGAGCTCGCGATCTATCGGGAGGCCGCGTTCTGGCTCCGCGCGCTCCTCGTCGCCGCGGCGGCGCTCCGCCGCGGGTCCATGAAGAAGGCGCTGCGCCGGACACGCCCGACGGTGAACGTCGCGACCCTGGACAAGTGCCTCGCGGCGACGCGCGAGGACGCGGCCGTCCGCGGCGTCGCCGGCGCCGACGTCGCGAGGCTTCTCGACGCCGTCGACGCGCTCCGCGCGCTCCGCGCGGCCGTCGCCGGCGCGCTCGCCGGCGCCGACGCGGATGTGAGTATCGCGACCCACGCCGTGCACGTCTGCTGCGCGTTCCTCGACGCGTCGCGCGACGCGGACCGGCTCTCGCCCGCGGCTTCCCTCGCGCTCGTGAAGCTCTCCGACGCCGCGCTCGACGAGTGCCACGGCGGCGACGTGCTCCTCCACCGGCTCGGCGCGGCCCAGGCCGCCGAGCGCGCGGCGGACGCGCTCCTGGCCATGCTCGCGGCGCCGCCGCCGGAGGTCGTCGCGGCGTCGGACGAGACCGGCGCCGCGTACTACGTCCGCGACGGCGCGTCCTTCTGGTCCGTCGGCGACGCCCTCGCGGGCACGGGCGCCTCCTGGGCGCGCGTGCGCCCCGCCGACGGCGACGCCTTCTACTACGACGCGGCGACGCGCGCGACGGCCTGGGCCTGGCCGCCCGCGGGCGCGGCACGGGCGCTCGGGGACGCGCTCGCGTCGCGCGCGCTCCCCGCGGACTACGCGGCCCGCGCGGCCCTCGCGGCGCTGCGCGACGGCGCGCGGGCCGTCGCAGACGAGGACTGGGTCGCCCTGAGCCTCGCCTGCGCGCGGCTCGCGCGCGGCGACCTCGACGACCGGGGCGCCGCGGCGAAGGGCGCGCTCGACGCGGCGCTCGCGCCGCGCGCGGCCGAGGCCCGGGCGAAGAAGGCGCTCATCTGGAACCCGACGCACTGGGCGTCGGCCCTGCGCCGCGACGCCGACGTCTTCTCGCTGCGCGACGCGGCGCTGCGGCTCCGCGCCGAGGGCCCGGCGCCGATCGCGTCGCTCGAGCGCGGCGCGGAGGAGCTCGACGACGCGGCGGCCGTCGGCGGCGACCTCGGCGCGGCCTGCGTCGAAGCGGCGGCGCTGCGGCGCGAGCTCGTCGCCCTCGCGCGCGACGACGGGGCGCTGCTCGGGGCCGCGGACGCGTGCGATCCGGACGCGCCGCTCCCGGAGCTCGACTGCTCCGCGGGAAGCGCGCGCGACGCGGCCCACGCGGCCCTCGCGCGGCGCGCGGCCTTCGTCCTCGAGGGCGAGGGCCAGCAGCGCCCCCTCGGCGACCTCGAGGCGCTCGCCGCGGCCTTCGCGGCGACGCGGCTCGCGGACCGCAAGGACGCGCGCTACGCGTCTCTCGCGGACGCCGTCTACGCGGCCCTCGCGGCCCACGGCGCGCGCGACGACGCCTGCGGCCGCTACGCGGCCGCCGGCGACGCCGCCGCGGCGGGGTACCTGCTGGCGGACGAGCTCTGGCGCTTCCGCGGCCGCGGCGCGGACCGCGGCGCGTCGCTCCGCGAGGCCGACGCGGGCCTCGCCGCGGCCCTGCGCGCCTTCGACGCCGGCGCGGCGCGCTACTGGCTCTCGGTCGCGGCGCTCGACGACCTCGACAACGCCGTCTTCGCCGCCGCGCGCCAGCTGCTGCGGGGCCTCGGCGAGGCCGCCGCGGCGACGTTCCGGACGCTCCGCGCGCGCGCCGCGCGCGCGACGGACGACCCCTTCCTGCTCGCGGGCGCATTAGCGCCCCTCGCCGTGGAGGACCTGAAACCGCCGACGCCGAAGCTCGTGGCTTTGAGCTGGGCCTTCCGGCAGGCGCGCGCGTCGCCCGACGCGGCGCCGACGACGCTGTCGCCGCTCCAGCGCGTCGTCGCGATGCGCCTCTGGCGCCACTGCGTGCCCATCCTCGCCGGCGCCGACGACGCCCTGCGGAGCTGCGCCCACGTCGTCGTCCACGTCAACGAGCTCCTGGGCGTCGTCGCGCGGCGCGGGTTCTCCCGCGAGTTGCCGAACCCGGAGAGGCAGTACGAGCCCGAGGTCGAGGCGTCGCCGGACATGGTCGACGAGGTCTACCTCCAGTTGGCGGAGAAGCTCCTGGAGCCGCCGCCGAAGCAGCTCGCGCCGGCGGAGCGGGACCGGCAGGCGCGCATCCTCGCCGAGGCGCGGCGGCTCGACATCCCGCTCCGCGCGCTCCGGGCTGTGTGGAAACCAACCACTGGTTTGGGCGGTCCTGACCAAACTTGAGAATTCTCTAGCTCGGTCACATTGAAGTCGATTCGGCTGATTTTTGGACGAATCGATTGCTCTCGTCGAGTTCTCGAAGCACAGCCGAAGAAATTGCGTCGAAACTTTCAATTGCGCGCACATTGAAGTCGGGTTGAAGATTTGAATTCCACACAGGCTCCGGGCCTACGAGGACGACCGGAAGCTCGCGGCGGACCTCGCGGCCCGGGGCGGGTCGCCGCCGACGTCGGACAGCGACGCGTCGTCGGAGAGCGACGGCGAGCCCGGCTTCTGGGTCGTGCGCACGAAGCACGCGCGGACGGCCAGGGTCGGCGCCGTCGCCGTCGCCGTGTTCGCGCTCGCGGACGCGGGCGCGCTGCCGTCGCCGGCGGTCCGCGGCACCGTCGAGGGCGCCCTGGAATTCGCCCGGGACCGCGCGACGGCCGCCGACGACGCGCTCCAGGCCCTGCGGCTCGGCGCGGCGAGGGCGGCGTTGCATCTCGAGCCGCCGGGCTGGCGCGCCGAGGGCGCCGAGGCGCGGGGGGACGACGCGCCCTGGGAGACCCTCGCCGAGGCCCACTTCGACTACGGCGCGGCGACGGCGGAGGACCTCGAGCGGCTCGCGGCGGAGGGCGGCGAGCCCTACGTCGCGCCGGAGCCGGAGCCGCCGCTCCCGCGGGGCGTCGAGGTCCGCCGCGAGGTCGACCGACGGCGCGCCCTGGCCCGAAGCCACCCGCGGACGGACCGCGCGCAGCGCCTGCTGCCGAGCCTGGCGCGGAAGCGGCGCGACCTCGACGCCCTCGAGGTCGCGCGCGACGCGCGGTTGGCGCGCAAGGCGTTCCAGGCCGCGCGGCGCGCCGCGCGGCTGAGGGGCCTGGAGGACGAGAGGGAGCACGCGCCGAAGCGCCGCGGCGGCCGCACGCGGTCCGCGATCCTGGAGAACGTCAAGGCCGCCGCCGCCGCCGCGGAGAAGAAGCGCCGGGCGCGGGGCGAGCCCGAGGCGGACCGGCCGGGGAGCCCCGGCGGCGTGCCGACGACGTTCCGCGCCGCGCACGCGTTCTTCAAGCAGGAGACCGCGGCGCACCCGGACTTCAAGAACCCCGTCGGCGAGGGCCACAGCCAGCGCGGCTCCGTCGTCTACGACCGGCGGCCGAGCCTGCAGCCCCACCTCGAGCCGTCGCCCGTCGACCGGCCGCGCGCGCTGAGCCGCGTCGCGGAGGGCGACGGCGCCTCCGACGACGACGCGGACGACGAGGGCTTCGTCGTCGTGCCGCGCCGGAGCTTCGTCGTCGAGGAGGAGGAGGAGGAGGAGGAGGAGGACGCGCCACCGGGGGCCAGCAGCGCGCCGCCCGCGCGGACCGCGTCGTACCTCGAGATCCGCGACGACGACGCGCCGGCGGTGCGCGACCGCACGACGTCGTCCGTGGACCTCGCCTACGCGGCGAGCAAGGACCGCAAGGCCGCGGCGTCGCAGATGGCCGAGCTCGCGCGCGCCATGGCCCTCAAGCGGAACGCGGGCGGCGGCGAGGTCGTCCACGTCGGCGTGGGCTCGCAGGAGCACCCGGACCACCCGCCCGACGCGCCGGCGGCGTCGCCCGCGCCCGCGCCGAAGGCGAAGCGCGCCGCGGGCCGCGGCCGCCGCAAGCCCGGCGGCTTCGTGTCGCGCTTCACGAGCGGCTAATTGCCTTAGACAGCACCGTGGCGCCTACCCCGCCGGCGTGGGGGTCAGGTTGCTCAAGGCTTGTCGGGCTGGTGAATGTGCAAAAGGACCGCGACGGCGCCGAGGGTGTTGGCTCCCGGGCGGGGTCGCGGGCGTGGGTTCGTGGGCGGGGACGCCGCTTAGGGCGTGTAGGGCGTGTCCGAGAGCTCGGCGGTCGTCGTCTCGCGCGCGCCGTGCGGGTACGTGTCCGGCGACATGTCGTCGGCGGAGACGACGACCATGAGGCGGCAGAGGTTGTCGATCGTCTTCGCCTCGACGAGGTGGCACTCGCGGTCCGTGTGCCAGGTGACGAGGCCGCCCGTGCCGCGGCAGATCTCGTTGTCGGCGGCGTCGCCCGTCGTCGAGCCCTGGTAGTAGGCGTAGTCCGTCGCGAGCTCCGTGTCCCAGGAGTTGAGCGCGTCCCACGTCGGGCGGAGGTACGGCGACGAGCTCGGGTCGTCGCTGTTGACGATGGTGAAGACCTGGCCCTCGACGCCGATGCCGACGGCGCGCGACATGAGCGCGTCGGCGGCCGTGGCGATGTCGAGGCCGCCGATGGTGGCGCCGCAGAGGACGCCGTCGAGGAAGTGGTACTGGTACTGCCACTCGGTCTGGCACGCGCCGATGGACGAGTGGGGCCAGTGGAACTCGTAGGTGAGGCCGACGTGCATGTCGTGGCAGTACTGCCAGTCGTACTCGTTGGCGACGATGCCGTCCGGGTCGTCGTTGTTGAGGTCGTAGGCGTTCTTGCACATGTGGCCCACGCGGAGGCTGCCGGACGCGAGCTTGCGCTCCTCCTTCTGCGCCTCCGTGAGGCCCTCGAGGTCGTCCTCGCTCTGGAGGCGGCGCTCGTAGGTCGCGAGGCCCGGGTGGTCGAAGGCGTACTCCTCCGTGTACTGGCCCTCGGAGCGGTGCTCCGCGCCGATGTGCCAGTGGACGTTCACCGTGCACATGCCCGCGGCGTTGTAGTCCGGGATGGGGTCGAGCGCCGGGTCCATGAGGCCCACGGAGCCCTCCGTGACGTCGTAGGCCGACTGGGCGTCGGCGTCGGCGCAGGGCACGTTGGGCAGGTCGTCGCGGAGCGGCGCGTAGCCGAGGTCCGGGTCGATGCAGGGGCTGCGCGGGGCGACGGCGTCGGGGCCGCTCGAAGAAAAAAAAGTCAGGACGCCGGCGCGCGCTTGGCGCCGAAGCAGTAGCCGCAGGCGCCGGGGCAGCCCTCCTCGGCCGTGACCTTGGTGTCCGCGTCGCCCTCGATGTAGCCCTTGACGGAGCAGCGCTTCTCCGCGTAGCGGGCGACCCAGTCGCAGTCCTTGCTGGGGTTGCCCTTCTTGTACCAGGCGTAGTTGTCGCAATCCCCGCCGGAGGAGGAGGACGACGACGCGGCCGAGGCCAGGCCGAGGGCGCAGGCGAGCACGAGCTGGGCGAGCTGCATTTCGGAGCTTTTTTTGACCGACGGAGGATCTCGCTGCTGCGTATGTGCTGGTTGAAAGGGGGCTCTGCTCTGATCCATCCAAAACTTTCGGTGGGTTTCGAATGGGTAGATTAATCCTGCACCTCAGGCTCTCGTCCCTCATTGGGTAAAACCCCATATTCTTGAAGGTCACGCCTGGCCACAGATCAATAGAAATGGATATGTTGTAGTTTGAAGAACGCACCAACTTTTCAATATGAGTCAGTACGTTTAGAGTGAAGTTCCGTTCGGGGCATTGGTCCATTGAAGAAGAACCACAGCTTACGAGGCCGCCGTTATGGCATCGCGGTGCCTCCAGGGGCTCGCCGGGTCGCGCTTGCGGTCGATGGCCGGGCTGGTCGCGGTGGTCGCGACACCCGGGCTGCTCGCGACGCCCGGACTGGAGGCCGCGAAGTCCAGGCTCGCGGACGCCGCGATGGCGTCCCGGTGCCTCCAGGGGCTCGCCGGGTCGCGCTTGCGGTCGACGGCCGGACTGGTCGCCGAGGCCGCGAAGCTCGCGAAGCCCGGGCTGCTCGCCGAGGCCGCGAGGCCCGGGCGGGACGCCGGCGAGCGCGCCGCGGCGGCCGCGACGGCGTCGCGGAGCCTCCGGGGGCCGCCCGGCTTGCGGTCGGCCGCCGGGCTCGTCGCGGCGAGGCTCGGCCCGCTCGCCGACGCCGCGAGCCCCCGGTGCTGCCGCTTCCGCCGCGTTTCCGCGAAGCGGTCGAGTGCGCGCGTGGGCGCGCCGCCGCTGTCGAGGGCGACGCTGCGCGTGCCCGCGGGCCCCTGGATGCGCTCGAGGTTGTCGCGGACGGCGAGGATGTCCGGGTGGTCCGGGTCCTTGAGCGTGACGACGTAGACGGCGAGCGCGCGGTCGAAGAGGTGCTTCGCCTCGTCGACGCGGCCCATGTCCACGAGCAGCTCCGCGTAGTTGTCGAGCACGGCGGCGACGTCGTAGTGGTCCTCGCCGAGGAATTTCTCGTTGAGGCGCCGCGACTCGCGGTAGAGCGGCTCGGCCTCGTCGAAGCGGCCCGCGTCCTGGAGCAGCACCGCGAGCGCGTTGAGGGGCACGGCGAGGGCGACGTCGTCCCGCGTGCCGCAGGCCTCTTCGCAGAGGTCGAGCTCGCGCCGGTAGTGCTTCTCCGCGTCCTCGAGGTCGCCGAGCTCGTGCGCGACGGACCCGAGCGCGCGGCACGCGGCCGGCACCTGCGTCCTGTCGAGGCGCTCCGCGAGGCCGGCGACGCGGCGCCAGACGGGCCGCGCGTCGGCGAACTTGCCCGCGTCCAGGAGCAGCTCGCCGAGGTTCTTGAGCGCGTTGAGCGCGTTCCGCTCGTCCGACGGGCCCCTAGCGTCGAAGACGCCGACCGCGCGCCGGTAGAGCGCCTCGGCGTAGTCGAAGCGGCCCTGGGCGCGCACCAAAGACGCGAGATTGTGGAGCGCCGCCGCGACGCTCGGGTGGGCGCCGCCAAAAGTCTTCTGCAGGATCGCGAGCGCGCGCCGGTAGAGCGGCTCCGCCTGGTCGTGGAGGCCCTGGGCCTTCAGCACGACGGCGAGGAAGTTGCAGGACACGGCGACGTTCGCGTGGCCGTCGCCGAGATCCCGCTCCCGGAGCCGGAGGATGCGCCGCGCGAGCGGCGTGCAGAAGCCGTAGTCGCCGAGGCTCGCCGCGCAGGCCGCGAGGTGGCGCAGGGGCCCGACGAGGTCGCCGTGGTCCGCGCCGAGCTGCGCCTCGTAGACGGACACGGCGCGCTGGAAGTAGGTCCGCGCGTCGGCGAAGCGCCGCTCCCGCTCGAGGATGAGGCCGAGGTCCCGGAGCGCGTCCGCGAGCGTCCGCCACTTCGCCGACGTGTCCAGGTCCACGAAGTGCGTGCTCCTGAGCTCGAGCTGGGCCTCGGCGATCTTCAGCGCGCGCGCGGCCATGGGCTCCGCGTCGTCGTCGCGGCCCTGCTCGTAGAGGAGCTGGCTCAGCCGCGTGCAGAGCGCCGCGAGCTCCGGGTGGTCCCTGCCGAGCCTGGCCTCGCGGATGGCCAGCACGCGCCGCAGCATCTTCTCCGCCTCGTGGTGGCGCCGGCCCCGCTGGAAGCAGCCCGCGAGCGCCTCGCAGGCGTCCGCGACGTCCGGGCCGTCGCGGCCCGTCTGGCTTTCGTGGAACGCGAGCGCGCGGTGGAAGTGGACCTGGGCAGCACAAGAGAGATTCAACGTCGCTTCAACGTGAGTGTTCCGCGCGCGCGCGTTCCGGTAAAAGCATCCACGCTTCGAGACCGTTCCGAGAGACGATCGCTCGTCCAAAAATCAGCCGAAACGAGTGGAAAACGGCCGAGAGAGGAGCCTTTGAAGTTGGGAATCTCGCTCTCTTTGGCTGCCCTGAAGTGGACCTCGGCGGCCGCGAGGTCGCCCCGGTCGAGCATGAGGGCCCCGAGCTGGCGCCAGGCCTCGCCGACGGAGGGCCGGTCCCGCTTCTCGGCCTCGTCGTGCACCGCGACGGCCCGGCGCAGCAAACCCTCCGCGTCCTCGTACTTGCCCTGCCTGTAGGACATGCCCGCGAGGTTCCGCCAGCCCCTAGCGAGCACGCCCGCGGGCGCGCCGCCGTCCTCCGACACGCGCAGCGCCGCCGCCTGGAGCCGCTCCGCCTCCTCGAACGCGCCGCGCTCCTCCAAGACCGCGCCCAGCTTCTTCATGTTGTCGACCGCGCCCGGGTGCGTCGGGCCGAGCTGCTTCTCCTTGATCTGGAGCGCGCGCCGCAGCAGGGGCTCCGCCTCGTCGACGCGCCCCAGGTCCCGCAGCAGCGACGCCAGGTGCGTCAGCGACGCGGCGATCTCCGGGTGGTCGCGGCCGAACGGGTTCCGCTCGTGGATCGCGAGGGCCCGCCGAAATAAGGGCTCCGCCTCGTCGAGGCGCCGCAGCGCCTGGAGCGCCGTGGCCAGGCGGTCCAAACTCAGCGCCGTCTCGTGGTTCCAGGGCCCGAAGCGCCGCTCGCGGATGCCGCGCGCGCGCTCGTAGAGCGGCAACGCGCCCGCCCAGTCGCCCTGGGCCTGCATGAGCGACGCCCGCGCGTCGAGGCACCGCGCCACGTCGTCCGACTCGTCCGTGCCCTCCTCGCGCAGGTGCTCGTGCGACCGGAGCGCCTCCGCGTAGAGCCGGAGCGCGCGCTTCCAGTCGCCCTTGGACCTGCGTGGAAATCGACCGCCGGTTTGGGACGTCCCGACCAAACTTTGAAAGTCTCTAGCTCGGTCACATCGATTTGGCTGATTTTTGGACGAATCGATTGCTCTCGTCGAGTTCTCGAAGCACCGCAGAAAAGTTTGCGTCAAAACCGTCTCATACGCGCACATTGAAGTCGGGTTGAAGATTTGAGTTCCACGCAGCCTTGGACTGCGCGTGGTGCGCGACCTCCTCGAGGGCCAGGGCCCCCTCGACGTAGCGCTCCTTGGGCACCTGCGTGAAGATGTCCAGCGACCGCCGGAACAGGTCCGCGGCCTGGTCGGGCTTGTTCTGGTGCTTGTAGAGCTCGCCGAGCGCGTGGAGCGCGACGGCGACGCGCGGGTGCAGGTGGCCGAAGGCGTTCTCGCAGACGGACACGTGGCGGAGCAACAGCGGCTCCGCGGCGGCGTAGTCGCCCTGGTCCAGGAAGAGATCCGCCAGGTTCTTCACCGCGACGACGGTCCCGGGATGCGTGGGCCCGAGCCGCTTCTCCTGGATCGCGAGCGCGCGCTCGTAGAGCGGCCGCGCCTCGTCCTGCTTGCCCTGGGCCCGCAGCACCTCCGCGAGATCCGTCAGCGACTCGGACACCTCCAGGTGGTCCCGCCCCAGCCGCTTCTCCGCCCGCTCCGCGCGCCGGCGCACGGGCTTTGTCGTCAGCTCGTCGTCGTCCTCGTCGCCGTACCTCGTGCCGACGCCGCGGCTCTTGGCGAGGTCGCGCAGCGCCCGCCGCGCGGCCCAGGTGTAGGGGTGGTCGTCGCCGAGCTGGCGCTCGCAGATCGTCAGCGCGCGGAGCTGGAACCTGGGCAGCAAAAGGGTGCGAAATTCCCAACTTCAAAGGCTCCTATCTCGGTCGTTTTCCGCTCGTTTCGGCTGATCTTTGGACGAGCGATCATCTCTCGGAGCGCTCGAAGCGTGGGTGCTGTTTCCGAAACGCGCGCGCGCGGAACACTCACGTTGAAGCGACGTTGAATCACCCTTTTGCTGCCCTGGCTGGAACGGCTCCGCCTCGGCGACGCGGTGCAGCCGCGCGAGCACGCGCGCGTAGCCGTGGAGCGTGACGGCGACGACGCGGTGGCTCGCGCCGTGCGCGGCCTCGCGGATCTTCAGGGCGCGCTCGTAGCAGGCCGCCGCCTCGTCGAGCTTGCCGCGGTCGCTGAGGCCGAAGCTCCGGAGCAAGTCGCCCAAATGCGCGAGCGACTCGCCGACGGCCGCGTGGTCCGGCCCCAGCGCGTCCTCGCGGATCTTCAGCGCGCGCCGGTGCAGCGGGAGGGCCGCCGTGCGCTTGTCCGCGAGCCGCAGGCACTCCGCGAGGTCGTGGGCCGCCGCGCCGGCCGCGCCGTCGAGGAGCCCGGACCCGCGCTCCGCGAACGCCAAACGCGTGCGGTACACGGGCTCCGCGGCGACGTACTTGGCCTGGTCCCGCAGGCAGTCGGCGTAGCGCACCATGGCCGACGCGACCAACGCGTGGTTCTGGGGCAGCTTCTTCGACCGGATGCCCAGCACCTTTTTCAGGAGCGGCTCCGCGAGCTCCGACGCGCCGAGGTCCTCGCGCGTGCGCGCGAGCGCCTCGAGGGCGTCGGCGTAGTGCAGCGAGTCGTCCCCCTCGCGGCGCTTCACGGCGGCGACGATGCGCTCGCGGATCGCCGGGCAGCGGTGCGCCTCGTCGACGCTCGCCAGGAGCTCGTCGAGGTGCTCGAGCGCGCGCGGGTCGTCGTCCTTCTCCGCCAGGACCCAGGCCACGGCGTCGTCGAGGCCGTGGTCCCCGTCCAGGGGCAGCGACAGGAGCAGCTCGAGCCGCTCCGTCGTCGGCCGGTTCGGGTTCCTCTCCGCGGCGAAGTACGCGCGGAAGTAGTCGTACGCGTCCTTCGCGTTCAAATCCTCGTCGCAGCGCACGAGGGGCGCGAGGTGGATCTGCAGCTCGCAGAGGTGGCAGATGGGGTCCTCGACGCCGTCGACGGCGCTGTCGACGTCGACGGCGACCGTGCAGAGCAGATCCCGGTAGCCGGCGAACGCCGGGAACGTGAACCGGTTCTTCGTCCGCTGGATGTCCACGCGGCCGTCGTCGTCGAGCGCGTCGCAGAGGGTCGCCAGCGTCTCCTCCGTGTCGCAGACCAGGGACCCGCGCACGACGTCGAAGAGCCAGGTCGGGCCCCGGCCCGCGCCGCGGTGCTCCCGCTTCGCCTTCGCCGTCGCGCGGTCCCAGGGCTTCAGCGGCGCGACCTCGAAGGTCGCGCGGCCCGCGGCCTCGCGGAGCTTGGCGTCCTTGGACGTCTTGAAGCGCCGCAGGGCGCCGCCGACGTGGGCTTCGAAGAGGGGCCGCGCGTGGGCCGCGACGTCGTAGAGCTGTTCGAGCGTCGCGACGGGCTCGCCGTCGAGGCCGCACTGGCGGTGCCGGTCGTCGAGGTCCGCGTAGTCGCCGAGGGTGTTCGTCGGGTACCACTCGAAGGCCTGCGCCTGCTTCGCCGGGCAGCACTCGTCGAAGCAGCGCTCGAACTCGCGCCGGCAGCGGTGCAGCAGCCGCAGGTGGGCGAAGAAGGCCGCGGACCGCTGCTCCTGCTCCTTCGCCGACGGCACGAAGGGCTCGTGGTACTTGGGCGTCACCTGCAAAGCGCGGGCCGCCTCGCGGGACGCGGCGGCGCCCATCTCTTTATGAAGCTTACAACATCAGGAACATCATAGCGCTGCGGCTAATTACACGCGGCACTCGCACTGCAAGTTATGGGCAGCCCAAAAAGCTCGGGCGCGATGGCCATTTGGTGGTGCTTGTTGCTCCTACCCGCGACGTTGGGCGAGGGCGGCCAGCCGCGCGAGTGCCAGGCGTCGCAGATCCCCGCGGCGGCGGCGCCGGCGCCGCCGCGCGTCGCCGTCGTCTTCCGCGGCGAGGTCTTCCGCGGCCTGAACTTCGACTTCCACTTCTCGCGCGACGCCGCCGACCGGCGCACGGACGCCCTGCGGCGCAAGCTGCCCTGCCTCAACAGCTCCTACGCGCTTCAGCGGGCCCTGGCGCGCAACCAGGTGCGCATGCTACTCGAGCCGCTCGAGGCGCGCGGCGTCGCCGTCGACGTCTTCCTCGCGTCCTACGGCTGCTGGGACCTCGTCGACGACGTCAGCGACGACCGCGCCGCGGCCTGGTGGCGCGACGTCAGGTCCTGGTACGGCGATCACCGCGTCAAGTTCAGCGAGCCCGTGAAGCGGGCCAAGTTCCAGTCGCAGCAGACGACGATCTCGCGCGGCCTCGACGCGGCGCTCGCGGCGGGCGAAAGCTACCGGTCGCTCATCGTCTGGCGCTTCGACGTGGCGGCCTTCGCGCCCATCGCGGGGCCGCCGGGCGCGACGCTCCACGGGCCGGACGTCGCGCCGACGGACTTTCTGCTGAGCGACGGCGACGAGGGCGGCCTCATCAACGGCGACGTCGGCTGGACGCTGCCCTGGCGCTTCGCTTCCTGCTTCGCCGCCATGCAGCGGCCGCCGACCTTCGACCTGGCGTCGGGCGCGCCGACGGGCAAGGGCTGCTGGGCGCCGGGCGCGGAGAGCGCGAACGGCGGCCAATGCACGCAGCTGCTGGACGGCGTCATGCGGCGGTCCGGGGCCAAGGGCCTGCGGAAGAACTGGCCCTGCTTCATCGACGCCGCCCACCCGAAGCCGGCCTTCGCTCTGAGCGCCGGGTCCATCGACCGCCGCGGGTCGCCGTTTTTGCTCAGCCGGTGGATGGCGGACAACGGCCACGTCCTCGAGGCGGGCAAGCCCCCGAGGTGGCCCTGGCTCTGCCCGAAGCCGGCCATCGTCCAGCGCTTCAGCGGCTCCCGCGACGGCGCGCTCTGCGCCTTCCTCAAGGCCGGCGAAGCCGACCTGCACTGCGACCAGGCGCACCTCCTCCGGGAGATCTGCGTCCGGCTGCGGGGCGACGCGGAGAACTTCGCGGCCATCGGGTGCGCCCCGCCGCGTCTCCTCGCGTGACGTCCGTCGACGACCGTCGGGGTAGGTGCGCGGGCAAGGCCGCCGCCGAGGACGCGCTGCGGCCGACCCGGAAGCAGGCCGCCCCCGCGGAGCCCGGGTCGAGCTCCCTGGGGCTGCGCTGCGCGCCGGGCTACCGCGCGGCCATCTTCCAGGTCACGGACGACAAGCACTACGACCTCTGGAGCATGTACGCGGCCGCGCGCGACTCGCTCGCGCTCGGCCTGCGGAGCCGCGCGCGCGAGTGCGGCTACGCCGTCGACGTCGTCCCGGGCTACGGGTCGCCCGCGGCGACGCGCGCGCTCGACGCCCTGGGCTACGGCGACGTCGCCATCTTCGTCGGCGAGGCCAAGGAGCTCCAGTTCGCGAGCGACGCGTGCGACCGCGACGCCCGGGGCGTCCACGCGATCCTCTACCAGACGGAGCCGCGGCCCCGGTTCGTCGCGCCCCCGGGCATCGACGAGGTCTGGCACTACGCCAAGTCCCTCGCGGCGTCCGCGCCGCGGCCGCCGACCGCGCGGGGAAAACCGCTCGTCGTCCGCCACGCGCCCCCGGGCTTCGTGCGGCCGCCGGGCTTCGGCGCCGCCTGCGGCGCCGCACCGGCGAGTCCGGGCGCCTTCCTCTGGATGGGGCGCCTGGCGCTCAGCGAGCGGCGGGCCTGCTACGCCGCGCTCGAGCGCAACGAATTGTTGAAGGGCCGGCTCGCCCAGCGCTACGACGTCTGGACCGACGCGGCCTGGGACGCCGTCGCGCCGCCCTGCGCCGCGCGTCGGAACGTCTTCGTCAACTTCCACAAGCGCTGCGACGACGAAGGCGCGCCCCTCGAGGTCGTGCGCCTCGCGCAGCTCCTCTCGCGCGGCGCCGTCGTCGTCTCGCAGCGCGCGCACGCCGCGGACATGGAGGACTACGCGGACCTCGTGCTCTTCGAGCCCGACTTCTTCGCCGAGGCCTGGTCGCCGCGGACCGCGGCCCTGCTCGGGGACGCGAGCGCGCTCGAGGCGTTCCGCGCGAGAGCCGCGGCGACGTTCGAGGCGCGCTTCGACCCCCGGGCGATCCTCGAGCGCGCGGGCGCCTGGAACGCGACGGCCGCGCCGCGGACGGCGACGGCGGCGAGCTGCGCGTCCGTGAAGCGCGCCAAGGAGGCCGCCGACGCCGAGCGGCGGCGGCGCCGCCGCGACGACGTCGACGACCCCGACCGGCGCCGCGGGGACCTCGGCTCGCTCGCCCACAAGATCGAGCACCTCCGCGGGGACCTGAAACGCATGGCGCCGGGCGACCCGGCGCGGTCGCGGCTCGAGGCCCGCGTCGCGAGCCTCGAGGAGCGGCGCGAGACGCCCGAGGCCCGCCGACGTCGGCGCGAGCCGCCGCCCTAAGCAACGTGCGATTGTGATCTACGCCGCTATTATCGCGCCTTGGGGACGCACTTGTAGACGCCGCGGCCCGCCCGGTCGTTCGGCTCGCAGAAGAACTCGTCGCAGCCGCGGTCCATCCACTCCTGGCGCTGCGGCTTCGACAGCGAGCCCCAGCCCACGCCGGGCCGCACGCGGTGCCGCCGGTGGTGGCTCCGGCACCACTCCTCGCGCGGCGGCGGCGGCGCGGGCTCCGCGGGCGGCGGCGGCGGCGGCGGCGGCGGCGAGGATCGCGGCGCGGCCGCTCTCGATCGCGGCGCGGCCGCTCGGGACTGCGCCGCCGCCTGCGCCACGGCTGCGTGCTCCTTTGCCGCCTGCGCCGTAGCCGTCCTCAAAAACGCCAACTGCTGCTTGAGCAGGGCCGTGTCCGACGCGTTGAGCGCCGACCGCACGCGCAGCGTCGTCTTCCTGGGCTCCGTGCGGCGCTCCGGCTCGACGGTCTCGGCGCTGCCGACGACGATGGAAATGGCGAAGAAGATGAGCGCGCCGCCACCCAGGAGCACGAGGAGCGCCTTGAAGGACTGCGCATCTTGGGCTGCGCGCGCCATCGGGCAGGCAGCCTAGCAGCACGAGGGGTGCACTGTGAAGGCAAACAATGACCCACCAAACCCTTGCGGCAAAATCGCTATGGTGTTCGAATGGTGAGGCTGTGAGTTCAATTTTCGACGCTAAGCAGCCATCCACGGGATGCGTCGACGGCTCGTCGCGGCCGCGCTCGGGGCCGCCATCGCCAGCGCACACTACCCGGGCGCGAACCGCGGCTATCGCGGCATGTCGGAGAAGGAACGGGTCGACTACTTCCACAAAAACGGCTACGAGTGGCCGCCGACGAGCACGCGCGGCTGGCCGCCGCAACCGGCGACGCCGTCCGAAGCCTATCGCACGTCGCGCGACGAGATCGAGGCCTGGATCCGACGAAACCTGACGACCTACAAGGCGACGTTCGACGAGTGGGGCACGCTGTCGCAGTCGCGGCGCATGCCCGCGTTCACGCGGAACGGCTTCGAGGTCTTCGACCTGTCGCACACGGCGAGCTACGCGGAGCTCGCGGCGAACTACGAACGGAACGTGAACGACCCCGCGGCCTTCGCGAACCTGCGGCCCGAGGGCATGAGCTCCGGGTCGTCGACCGGGCGGCCCAAGTTCTACCACCAGGGCTCGCTGAACAATCGGCTGCTGGACGAGCTGCGGCCGCGCATGGAGGCCTGGGCGGGCGTCGAGCTGCGGAACGGCCAGGCCTACGGCGTGCGCGTCTACGGCAACGGCTCGACGCTCGTGAACCACATCGACCGTTCCGAGACGCACGTCGTGAGCGCCATCTTCCACATCGACCACGACCTCGACCACCCCTGGCCTTTGGAGATCGAGGACCACGACGGCGCCTGGCACCGCGTCGACCTGAAGCCCGGCGAGCTCTGCATGTACGAGTCCGCGAAGCAGTACCACGCGCGCCTGCAGCCCATGCGGGGCCGCGCGTACGCGTCGGTGTTCCTCCACTGGTTCCCGAAGCACGGCTGGAACTGGACCATGTGGGACACGCACGTCAGCGTGCCCGCCGATTTCGAAGCGAAGCGGCCCGGGGACGCCGCGCGCGCCGCGGTCGTCGACGCGGCCGGCGCGCCGCCGTTCCTCCGGGCCTACGAGTCCTACTGGCGCGGCCGGGGCTTCGCGGCGCCGCGGCTCCACCGGGGCATCGAGGACCCCGTGCAGTCCTACGACGACGACGCGCTCGTCCCGCTGACGAGCGCGGCGCGCCACGAGGCGCGGCGCGCCAACGGCGCGCGGCTCCGGGAGTTCGCCAAGGACGGGCGGCTCGACGACGCGCGGAAGGCGCTGCGGGACCTCGACAACGTCGACGTCGACGCCGCGGACGACAACGGCTGGGCGCCCATCCACGAGGCCGCGCGCCGCGGCGACGAGGAGATCCTGGGGCTGCTCGTGGCGCGAGGCGCGGACGCGCGGAAGCGCACGAAGGGCGGCGACGACGCGCTCGCCCTCGCGCGCGACGCGCACGGGCCGGACCACGCCGCCGTCGCCTACCTCGCCCGCGTCCATAGCGAGCTCTAATTCAGCGAATGAAGGAAGCGCCTCGTCCAGAGCGAGCTCGAGCGACCGAACTTTTACCGAGCCCTACTCCGCCTGCGTCACCCGCGAGCTGATGCGCTTGTCGTGGAGGAACTGGCGGATCTGCTCGGGCATCTCGCCCGTGAGCTTCATGGCATAGCAGCCCGGCAGGCTCCGGTTGATGCCCTCCCAGCGGGCGATCCACGACTCCTCGGGCTTCATCATCGCGACGACGCCGTCGAACGACGCCGTCGTGCAGCTCGCGACGCGGTCCTGGCGCTCCGCGAGCTCGAGGAAGGGGCAGTTCTCGCAGCCGTCCTGGAAGAACCTGCGCGGCGGAGACGGGGTCGGCGCGCGCGCGCGGACGCATGCGGGCGCCGGGCGCGCGCTGGTCGAAGCACTTGACGAGGCCGCAGCGCAGGCAGGCGCGGTGGCCCTTCATGGAGCTCGGCGGGTCGGCGAAATCGATCACGTCGGCCATCTCCGCCATGGCTGTGGCGCGCGCTGCCGTCGGGCGGGGCGCGGTCGGCCGAGAGGTCGGGGGCCAAGGGCCGCGCGCGCGGCGAGGAGTCGGAGCAGCTCGTCGCGGCCTCGGCGATGCTAATGTTGCCTCAGCACCTCGGCCGCAGCCCAAACTTCAGGACGCCATCGCGCACCCCGACTCGGGTGACGCCTCCGCGTCGGCAGCCCGAGGCGTGGGGACGATCTTCCCTCGTCCGCCGCGCGAGGTGGGCGCTCGAGGCACCATGGCGGCGGCGGAGGCGCCGAAGGACACGTCGGAGCTCTGGAACAGCGTCTTCGTCATCGCCTACAGCTCGCTGCTCGTGGGCTGCGCCCTGGCGCAGCTCAACGCGCTCACGGGCGACGCGTCGGCCACGGGCGCGCTGGCCCTGACGACGACGGAGGTGTCGGTCTGCACGGCGGCGCTCTACTGCGCCGCGGGCGTGTCGTCGATCTGGGCCAACGTGCCCCTGGACCGCTACGGTCGCAAGCAGACGCTGCTGCGCGTGAACGCGTGCTTCGTCGCCGGCGGCGCGTGCACGTGCTTCAACTCCTTCCTCGTCATCGCCGCGGGGCGGTCCATCATCGGCGTGGCCTGCGGCATCGCCCTCGTCGCCGTGCCGACGCTGCTCGCGGAGATCGCGCCGCCCGAGGAGCGCGGGTCCATGGGCGTGATCCACCTCCTCTGCATCAACGGCGGCGTGTGCCTCGCGGCGATCATCGCCTACCCCTTCGTCATGTACGTCGACGGCGGCTGGCGCTGGGCGAACCTGACCTTCAGCCTCATGCCCTGCGTGCAGCTCGCGCTCCACGGGTACGTGCTCGAGTCGCCGCTCTGGAAGCAGCCCGCGGAGCGCGACGAGGCCGCGGCCGCGGCGGAGGCGGAGGACGACGACCTCAAGCCGTCCTGGTGGGACTTACGGGAGCCGCTGGCCGTCGGCGCGACGCTCGCGGCGCTCCAGCCCCTCACGGGCATCAACATCTTCACGTCGTACTCGACGGCGATCTACAAGATCGCGGGTTTGGGCGACCCCATCGTCGGCACGATCGTCGGCAACGTGTCGCTCATGGCCTGCTCGTGCCTGGCCGTGCTCCTCGTGGAGCGCATGGGCCGCCGCGACCTGCTGCGCATGTCGTGCTCCATCATGACGCTGAGCGCGGTCGTCGTCGGCGTGTCGCTCTACTCGTCGACGGACGAGGGCGACGACGCGACGCCGGAGACGGCCTACACGACGCTGCTGGGCGCCGCGGGCTTCCTGGGCGGCTTCTCCCTGGGCTGCGGGCCCGTGCTCTGGGTCCTCATCGCCGAGACCTTCCCGACGAGCCGCCGGAGCCAGGCGCTCGGCGGCCTGAACACGCTGAACGCGTTCGTGAACCTCGCGGTCGTCTTCTCGTCCCTCTTCCTCGTCAACGCGCTCGCGGGCTGCTCCATGGAGGCGAACATCGACGACGACACGCTCTGCGGCGCCGTCGAGCTCCGCAAGGCCGTCGGCGAGCTCATGCTGATCCTCGCGTTCGTGACGGCGATCACCGTCGTCTTCGTCACGGCCTTTGTCGAGGAGACCGCGGGCAGCGACCTCGAGGCGCTGGACCGCCGCTACTGCTGCCTCCCGTCCTGCGTGCCCCGCGCCAAGCCCCCGCAGAAGCAAGAGCGCCTCACGGACGGGTCCCCGGGCCCGACGCCGCCGCCGCGGCGCCGCGGCCAGGAGGAGCGGCCCCTGCTCCCGGGCGACAAGCGCGCGCTCGCCTAGGTTCCTTCCCCCGCCCGTACGACTCGCACGATTGTTACCCGGGGAAGCCGTGGAGCACGACGCTGCGGTGGTAGACGAGGGCCTGGGCGACGCCGAGGAGCGCGTGCGCGTCCTCGTGCGCGGTCCACGCGTCCCGGTGGTGCGGCAGCGCGATCGGCGCCCGCTTCACCTTGCGCCGGTCGTCGACAAACACCAGCGACGCGAAGGTCGACGCGAAGGCGACGAACCTACCAAGCATGACGGTGACGATTTCCTCACTGTTTTCCCACCCGAAATCTCTCGAAAATCGTCACGACCACAGGACGCTGCGACGAACTGCTTCGCGGCCCAGGCCGGCGGCGACGACGATATCGCCGCGTACTCGACGTACGCGAAGTAGACCACGACGAGGCCGCTCCGCAGCGCCTCGAGGCTCGTGCGCTTCAGGATGATCTCCCGGTACGACGCGAGCGCCAGGCAGGCGAGGAACGCGGCGCTCCCCCAGCGGTCCGCCGGCGCCCAGGTGAAGACGCGGAGCATGGCGACCATGGGCAGCCCGGCCAGCGACACGTCGACGAAGAGCCGCCGGTCGTGGCCGCGCCGCGTCGGCGCCGCGTCGTGGAAGACCGCCGACGCCGTGAGGCACGCCGCGTTCATGCCGAGGAGGAAGGCCTGCTGCGGCGCCGCGCGCGGCGCCGCGACCTCGCGCGCGAACAACGCCCAGAGCGCGCCGCCGAGGCCCGCGTGGAAGACGCCGCGCGCGGCCGGCCGCGGGCAGGCGTCGCAGTAGGGCCGCTCCATGGGCAGCAGCAGCGCCGCGGCGACGGCGCAGGCCAGCGACGCGACGAAGGACGGCAGCAGGCCGTAGGCCGGCGGGATGGGAAACTCGACGAAGCCGACGCTCCCCGCGACGGCCGCCGCCAGGATGCGATGGTTGACCATGTCGCGGTTTCACGCAGCTACGACTGGACTGCTCTCACGCGGTTGCATCCCACGCTGCTACCGGGGCTGGGCTCCCGCGTTATTATAAGTCACGCAGTTGCGCTCCACGCTGCTACCGGGGGCTGGCGGGGGCTGGCTCCCGCGTTATCATCGTCCGGGAGAGAAATTCAACAACGACCGTGCACCCTCGTTGCCTTTCTCCGGCCGTGCTGGCCTGCGCCGCGGAGAGGCGCGGCCTGACGCTAGGCGCGGCCAGCGACCGATGCGCCAGGGCCAGGTCTATCGCGTGCGCGCCAAAAACGGAGCAATCGTAAGAAAAGGCGTCGAGCTCGACAGCGACGTCGTCGGCGAACCCCTCGCCGTCGGCACGGAGATCAGCGTCGAGGACGCCTCGACGAACTCGCGCGGCGTCGAGCGGTTGCGCATCAAGCAGCCCTCCGGCTGGGTGTCGCGCAAGGTCGTCGAGGCCATGGCCGCGCCCGCCGCCGCGGCGCCGCGAAAGTCGGACCCGCGAACGGAGCTCGGGCTCGGACCGATGCCGCCCGGCCATCCGTGCCCGCCGCAGCCCATCGGCGCGCTGTCGGATCGACGGAACGTCGCGACGATGGCCATGGGCTGATTCTGGGGGCCCGAGAGCGTCTTCGCGTCGACGGAGGGCATTCTCGAGCACCGCGTGGGCTACTGCGGCGGGAAGGAGGCGTACCCGACCTACGAAGCCATCAAGGACCACACGGAGGCCGTGCAGGTCGAATTCGATCCGGAGAAGATCAAGTACGAAGACGTGATCCGGCGCGTGCTCGACGAGGCGCCGCGGGAGCCCGCGTATTCGACGCAGTACCGGTCCGCGATCTTCTACCACGACGACGAGCAGAAGCGGATCCTCGAGCGCAAGGTCGCGGACATGGGCGCCGCGGCGCAGTACGTCGCCGTCGAGCCCTACCACGTCATGTACCGGGCCGAGGAGTATCACCAGCAGTACCTGTCCAAGTACGGCGGCGGCTACACCGGCGGCTACGGCCTGATGTAGTGCAACGCGAACGACCGCGATGACGGGCGCCCCTCCCCTCCCGCGCGAGGGGCGCCCCGAGAGTCGGTAACGACGCGCTGGCTGCCGATCGCGACCCCCCGGCATGTCGATCTTATCAAAAATCACTGTGGTAAATCGCATCTCAGGGTTCTATTTTTTTGCCACGGGGGGGGGCCCAGGGGGGGGTTTTGGGGGGAGGGGGGGGGGGTCACAGGCCGACGGGCGGCGGCTAACGGAAAGGGGGGGGGGGGGGGGTCCCCCCGGCGGCGGGCGGGAACCCTGGTTTAAGCCTTTTAAGGGGGTGAACCCGGGGCGGGGCAATCCCCCCGGGGGGGGCCGGGGTCCCAAACCAA